ATACATCTGCTAGCTGTCTTTGAGTCTTTTTAAATGGTGTAGCTATTTAACTATTTTAAAGGAAGAAGGGAGAGAAAGGACAAAGGAAGGAAATGGAACTGTTCCATTTTCTATTGCATGGTTTGCCTGGAATGCCCCCATGACAATCCTTCTAAGAAAAAGGTTGCCCAGCTCTCTGTACCCAACCTTGGGCTTCTTTCTCCCCTCCCTTGTGTCCATGCCCTTTTTTTCTGTTTGTCATTTATTTCTCTACTTGACTCTGATAGTTGGCTTTTAGTCTCCAAAATAGTGTCTGCAAAGAACTTATGGCCTGCTTGAATTAAATTCAAATACTTGTTCTCTGTACTTGACCTCAGTGCCATCTTTGATGGTGTTGTTAGCTATAAAAAGGTTTTGCTTCCTCTGCACATTTCCTTAATGCTCAGACTCTACTTCAAACCTGAATAGACCCATCCCTGAAAACTATTTTATTTTCTTCTCTTCTGCATTATGAGACTTATTTACCTTCAGAATTGTAAAGAGACATTGGAGAAGTGGGACTCCTACTGATTCATTTCCAAACCTAATCCAGGATTGGTTAATGCATAATTGTCATTCATTTATTAAGTTTATGACAGCATTTTAAGACCAAGACAATAAACCTGCCTTAGAATAATCATAGAAAACTGATGGTTTGAGCTATTTTGACTTTTTATTCTATTTATCTCCAGCATCTAACATAATGCCTTGCATGTTATTTTTAAATAAATGTTTTTTTAAAAAAGGATACCAAGTTTAATTTAACAATGGTTAGGTAAGAGAATGTAGAAAATACACACTGTCAGGTGGATCCCACAAAAGAGAACAAATGTACGTGTGTGTGTGTGTGTGTGTGTGTGTGTGTGTGTGTGTGTGTGTGTGTGTGAAAGAGAGAAGGATGATGATGATATAGCAAACAGAAAAATGTAAACAATTCATGAATCTGGATAAAGGATATATGAGTTCCTTTTACTATTCTTGCAACTTTTCTCAAGTTTAAAATTACATCAAAATAAAAATATACCAAAAAAATGTGCAGGGCACAGGACAAGGCCACTGTTCATCTAAGGATGGTTCTATAAAAGGAAAAAAAGGCATCATAACAAAATCTTACTCTCTATCACAACCCCAGCTTTGAATAATAGTTCTGTTTCCATTATAATTCAGCCTACTTTGTAAACCTGATTGCTGCCCCGTCCATGTGATCAACCTTAAAGAGACAACACCTGAAAATAATGTTTTACTAGCATCTTTCTGTTAACTTTGATTCACCTATGCTCATATGCTTGGCCTAAAAGATGGTATTTTAGCAGACCAAATACAACCATGTTTAGATGTCATCAGAAGACCCTGTGTCATGACTCCACTTAGGAATGGCTAGCCTCCCCTCCTCTCCCTTTTGGGCCATCAAAGTGAATACCATATAGTAATGCCTAAGGAGAGGGGTATTTGTAAGATTGCATTTTTACCTACAATTTTTATTGTGATGTTTTACAAGCACAAGTTCAGCAGCCACTGCTTTCACCGACTGATATACTTAAGAATAGACTCTCAGGATCTGCTGGCAGATCTTAAAAAAGAAAAAGAAAAAAGAAAAATCCAAATTCACGTTTTCCTGTCAACAGGTAAAGAAAAACTATTAATAGCTAGTGGTGATGTAATGACTCTTACCACAGCCTGGTCCAAGTAGAAGTCGTGATATATAACTTGCTTCTTTAATGTGTGTTTTTTGATCAGCTCTGAGAACTTGCTAATAAATGTAATGTTTTGTCTTTTTTGTTTTTTAATCTCCTAAATGTTCTCCAGGAGTGTTTTGTCATTTTTAAGTACTTATTCTCTGCTATAAAGGAAAAAATAAGGCTTTCTCCAATGAGTAAACTCTGAACCAACAGCTCAGGAGGCCAGTGAATTTTTGCAATCCTTTCTGACTGTACACTCTCCCTAAAATCCCTTCTGTGGGTAAAGTGTCTGTCTCCTATCCAGTTGTCATTTTGTGTGTCTGTAGTGCAGTAGCATGGCTGGTTCACCAAAGAAAAGGGAATAGGATCAGTCAGTTCCCACCTTCATAAGGCAGTGGGGGGTTGTAGGTTTATGATCACAGATAGTCCTGAGGCCACTGCTTGTTAACTTATTGACCTTGGACAACTGAACCGGGAGGCAGATGGCTCAGAGGCTCAGTTGCCTTATCTGTTAAGTGAGGCTGGGTTGCTGGATATGGTGATTCAGTGCCATAGCACTAATGGTACCAGGCTAGGCACAAAGAAGTTAGTTAGCTGTCTGCTGACAAATGAAACAGAAAGCCATGCCTGTGATGTAAATGATGTTGTCACGTTCCTTCAGTTACCCTCTTCACATCATCCATGAATGACAGTGGGTCTTCAGTGTAGGTTGTTGAAAAGCTGAAATAAACATGGTTGTATTTTTGATCTGCTAAAATACCATCTTTTAGGCCAAGCATATGAGCATAGGTGAATCAAAGTTAATAGAAAGATTCTAGTAAAACATTATTTTCAGGTGTTGTCTATTTAAGGTTGAGCACATGAAACGGGGCAGCAATCAGGTTTACAAAGTAGGCTGAATTATAATGGAAATAGAACTATTATTCAAAGCTGGGGTTGTGATAGAGAGTAAGATTTTGTTATGATGCCTTTTTTTCCTTTTATAGAGCCATCCTTAGATGAACAGTGGCCCTGTCCTGTGCCCTGCACATTTTTTTTTTTTTTGGTATATTTTTATACCAAATGAACAGAGCCATAGATCTGAAATTTGGCCAGCACTTTTCCAGGTGATGAGGAGGAGGGATGGTGGCATTTAGTGCTGACGTTGATTTACCTGGATTAGGATAGTCATTTACTGTACATTTTTCACAAAGGTTAATGAAGGAGTACGGCTGTCAAAGTAATTCATATCTTTGGCAATCTGTATCTTTGTGCGAACTTGGAAAATCCATGCTTTGTCTTAATCTGTGGTGTTTTCTCTTGTTTGATAAAACAGTGACATTTAATTTTAAGGTTCTATTTATTAAATAATATTACATTCTCTGTAAGTCTGCAGAGCAGATACCTTAGTGTCTCCGTCCTCAGACACATTTGGCAAGGGACAAATGTCCCTATTTCATGATTCAGGTGGAACTGCATTGAAGGCAGCTGTTCTCCTGGTGGGGGTTTTATGAATTACTAATTAAATTCTTAACCTATGGTTCTCTTCCTTTGACATGTGGGAGTTGCTTCTTCAAAACAAAAGGGAAAGATTAGATCCAAGAAATTTTCTGACTTTCATCAACACATCCTTTTTTATTGAGGAGTGAGAGGAATTCGCCTCTGTTTAGAAGGCCTTTCCTAAGACACGAATGAATTGCACCTGTGTAAAATGATGACTCGTTTAAAAGGTCATGACCTCCCAAGGGTAGTGTAGGAAATGAGGTCATCTTTACTTTTTGTTCAGGGTGAACGAAAGTTAAATTTATTAGTTGGAATAATATCTACTGTGTGGCATTGCTCCTACTGCTAGTACACATTGCAGCCATGGGGTGCTTGGCCTTCATTTGTGAGCTGTTACAACTTTAATTTTCTTAATGTCCTTTGATTTAGAAAATAAAAACCATAAGTTTTAATAGGTAACATTTTCTAACACTAAGTATTGAGAGTCGCATTGAAAGAGCTGCTGAAAAATAACTTAGTTTCAGGCTAAAAGTGTTTAGGTTTCACTGCCTTTCTCACTTGATTATGCAAATGAGTTGGGTTTTTTTGTTTGTTTGTTTGTTTGTTTTGTCACATCCTTCCTGAGATGGAAGAACATTTATTAAGGCAGAAGAAGTTTTGGAAGTCTGACACATCAGTGTGTGACTCTGGCTTTTAGCTGTGTTACTTGGGGCAAGTCACTTAACTTCCCTGAGCCATGTTTTCCCAAAAATGATTGGGTTAGGATAATTCCAATTTTCTTTCTTTACAACATTTTTTGGGGGAAAGAGGCAGAAAAACTCCATCTGGTTCTGAAAGTTCTGTTATCTTTTTTATTTTTTTAATCCCCTTAGTTTCTTGGGATAAGGAAGGGATGATTTTTAAGAACTGGAAGACACAAAGAACACAGATGGTGATAACAAAGTTCCTGGGTTGTAGGGCAAGGAATGTTGTCCTGACACCTTTGTAGTCCTTCATTTGAGGAGGCTTTTCATTCAGAGAAGGATTTATTTACGTCGTATTTTGCATTTCACACATAGTGGGTACTGTAACTTTTCATTGAATGCCGGTTGGTTTATAACACAATTAAACGTCAGTAGCTACCAAGCTGGATTTTATTTTAACCCAGTGCCGTGTTCAATTATGGTTTGTTGAAGGAACTTATTGATGAAGGTCTGGCTGACTTTAGCCCTCAGTAAGGGCTTGAGGATTTAATGTGCTATATAAGGACTTAACTGTGTTATTTCTATCCACTGCGTAAAACTAAGTTTAGTGTCTTACAAAGCATGATTGGAAACCTGAAACCTAAGCAGTTGGGCTCAGTGGGCCCACTCTCAGCAGGGAGCACTGCCTCAGTGGGGAAAACTGCTTAGGAAACATGGGGACCCCAGCCCCTTTTCACGGCACATAGTAGTGAGCAAGGCTGGTAGCCCGCTCCCTGACACTCCTTTCTACAACTCATAGGACTTCACAGGAATTGCATTTGTGGGCAAGTTAGAAAGTCAACAATGCAGCTTTCTTGAGAACTTTTCTAATGAAGAGTGTGTAGAGAGGCACCTTTTAAAGGTGACTGGAAATAAACTAGCTTTGGTGGCATTTTCTACTATTGAGCCGGTCTATTTCTGAATTGTATCGCCCTAGATTTTAGGTTTCAGTGGCTGGGGGGTTGGGGGGGCACGACACTGGTAATTTGATTACTTTCTCTGGGCCCAGCTATGTGTAAACAGTATTCAGTAAACACTCTTGGGGGGTAAGAGAAATGCATTCAGGTTTTTAATTTGTTTTTGTTTTTGTTTTATACAGTATCCACAGCAGCCATTGTTTGATGCCCTGTGACTGAGAAAGGAGGCTTTCAGCTTTCATTATTATGCCTTTGGAGATGGAGCCCAAAATGAGCAAACTGGCCTTTGGGTGTCAGAGAAGTTCCACATCAGACGATGACTCGGGCTGTGCCCTGGAGGAGTACGCCTGGGTGCCCCCGGGCCTCAGGCCGGAGCAGGTGGGAACCCGGTCATGCTACGTTTTCTACTTGTGTTTTCTAAATGTGTAAAACATTGCTGTGGTGTTCGCACACTGCCCTCCTTAGTCCTCAGTTCCCTTTGCATGGCTTTGAGTATTTGCTCTTCAAGGGCACATTTAGTTTCCCAACAAATATTTCCAATCTCTTAGTACTCCTGGATGCAGAAGCCCCGTAATGACGCAATTTTTGCTCTAATGAATGAAACCCAGAGTACTACATGCATGTGCACTGCCTGTGTGGATTTCTGGTGGGTCCCCCTTGAGAGAGTGAGCTGAATTACCTTTTTAAAAACTTCATTGACAACAGAAGGGTAATGAAAGGTAAGAGGAAAGTTTCCATTCCAGTGCTCAGCAATGCTTTTTCTTTGAAAGAGAGATGCAGAACTCTCAGAAACCATTTGAAGTGCTATTGCTTTGATAACTTTGTGTGTAGAAGAGTCCGTCGCCACACAGTGGGGATTGGAAAAAGAGAGTTAATTTTGTGTTTTATTTATATTGTTATTTCAAGGAAGATGAGAACATTTTATGTGTCTATTTTTATTTTCCCAATATCCTTATAATGATGAACTTGTTGAAGATATTATTATAAGGGCAAAGGCTTCATTTGAAATAGAAGATGACTGTTGTATGGTTGCTTCTGAGTTATGGTTCTGTCTCCTGTAGGGTGGGAACTCCTCTGAGAATAGGGTACCTCTATTCATCACAGCCTAGCACCGTACCTAGCGCACCTACAGCTGGTATTCAGTAATCGTTTATAACTATAAAAAGCTTCTAGAGTTGATACAACAGAGAGAGGGTGGAGTGCTGGTCCAGAGTTATGAAAGCAATATTTTGGCAAACGACTTACTAGATAGAACCCCTTCTTATATCTTAGGGCGGGTAGGTTTTGTAATCTACTAAGCTATTGAAGTAGGCCCCAAATTCCTAACGCCTATCATTTTTTCTTGAATCACTTTCATTCTTTCTTAGCACTGCATTATCCTTTGCTGTGCTCATTAAGGAATGTTCCTTTAAATACAACATAGAAACAAAAATTAAGTTCTCCCCACAAGGTGAATAAAATAGAGCTCAGTATGGCTCCTCTCCATTTTCCTTGGGGAAACAGGCTCCAGGTTGTCTGAAAGTCATACCCAGGGAAGCAAAGAAAGCTGGTGTTTGAGAGGAACTGATAAGGGAGAGCTTACAAAGTTGTAATGTATAAAATTCAGAGAGCAAATGAAATGTATTTGTGGAATAGCTGGTTTTTGGATAGTGTCACCCAGCCCGTGTGGTCATTTGCAGGACTCTGATCTCTTGGCTGACCCTCAGAAGATGGGCTGAAAATAGCAGCATTAAATGTGCATATTTTATGGTGTATAATTTATGATGCCCCTAATTGTCACTGCAGATTACATTCCTGAAGAGCAGTTTAGCAGCTGGATGCTAGTTTTCTGAAGGCACTGCAGTTCTGCCAGTTGGCTCAGCTGGTCTTCTCATTAGCTACAAGAGGCCAAACCCTGTACCTAGGGAAAGGTAACTGTTAAAGATCAAGTAAGCGAAGATACTCTGTGTGCTGATGCCGTTCTGTTTCCTCTGCAGATCCAGCTCTATTTTGCTTGCTTACCAGAGGAAAAGGTTCCTTATGTTAACAGCCCTGGAGAGAAACATCGGATTAAACAACTTTTGTACCAGTTGCCACCGCATGATAATGAGGTAAAATATCAGGAAAAAGGCTTAATTAGAAAAAAAGAAAGAATATAGGATAAGCATGGAGCTACCTCTCATAAACCCTAGCTCCTTACTGGCTAGGACTCTCTTTTGCTTTTCTTCAGTTAAAATTTGGCCAGAGAATACAGCTTTCCATTCTTTAGGAAAAGAGAGAAAAGGGTGTCAGTGCAATAAACTTAACACAAGTTGGTTTTTATAGTGTTTGCAGCCACCCACCAATTTCCAGCAGCCCATAGATTCCTGAGATTTCCCTGCCCCTGCATCCAGAGCAAGTGCTTTATGGTAATTGAGGCCTGGAGTTGAGTGCCTCTAGAATGGAGAGTGAAAGTGGCCATTAAGTTTAAACCTTTTGTAGGAAGGTTAATGGTTTGTTTTAAATGTCTCTGCTGATAAGGGTTTACATTAAACTTTTCATGTTAGAAAAATGAAATAGAATAAGGCTATTTCTTCAAACTACATTTCCCTTTTTCCAAAGAGGCTGCAAGATTTAGGCATGGTACCATTTTAAAATTGGGGATTCATGAGGCAGGTTAGCTAAACTCACTGTTTTGTTTGCTGAAACTTTTAACTCTGGAAGTATAACAATGGTGAGGAATATTGTGCACTTGAGTGTAGTGCTTCTGTTGTCCTTTCTGTGAAGGTGCGGTATTGCCAGTCTTTGAGTGAAGAGGAGAAAAAAGAACTGCAAGTGTTCAGTGCTCAACGGAAGAAAGAAGCACTTGGAAGAGGAACAATTAAACTTTTGTCCAGAGCAGTAATGCACGCCGTGTGTGAGCAGGTAGCCCTGGCTAGGATACGGAGCTTGCGGGTGTGCAGTATGTGGAGTGGACAGGAGGGGTGGAGTAGAGGACAGGGACAGCACAGGTGTGGGCCCTGAAAGCCTCCAAAAAATATGAGAAGGAAGGACAGCCTAGCTTTTCCATCCGTAACTGGTTACACTGCTCTGTATGGCAACAAGAGTCAGTCTGCCTCTAAGCCAACTCCAGGTGAAATCCTGCCTTTCGTAGGATCCTGGCATTGGAGGAAGGTGCCAGGATACACCTCACATTCAAAAGATGCAGAAACATAATGAAGACATTCTTACCGGCATTTCTCAGAGTAGGAAATGTACCCAGCAAAAGGCTGGCTCAGGAAAACCAGTCTTCCTGTGAATGTGATTACACTGTCCTTAGAAGCAGGCTACAGCAGGCAGTGTTATAAATATCTGAGGCATGTGCATTACAGTGGCGAGTCACCAGGAATACAGTATTAAGGAGCTGTTTAATCAGAGGGGACAAAAATAAAAGCTTTCCTGATTACATTTGGGGTTTCTCACGAAGTAGGAAAGTCTGAGAATCCCATCCTCAAGAAAGGACCCTTTCCCATTCAAACTCGTTTGTCCGCAGTGCGGGTTGAAGATAAACGGAGGTGAAGTTGCGGTGTTCGCCTCCCGCGCGGGCCCTGGCGTGTGCTGGCACCCATCCTGTTTTGTCTGCTTCACGTGCAACGAGCTGCTGGTCGACCTCATCTATTTTTATCAGGATGGAAAAATTCACTGTGGCAGACACCATGCAGAACTGCTCAAACCACGGTGCTCGGCATGTGACGAGGTAAAAAAAAAAAATTCATTCCTGCACGCTGGGAAAAATAAGCTTAGAGTAAGCCAATGTTCCACTGTCCACATCTAAGCAAAATATAAATATCTCCTGGATTTTGTTCTGTATGCATGTTTTTACATTCAGACAATGGAATAATATGTAGCTAAGAAAGAGAGGGCAGCAGATATCTGTGATGGGCTGTGAGAAAAAAACAAGGTGCAGAAGAGTATGTACCAGATAATCTTATTTTTGTTAAATAACGGGGGAAAACCCAATATAATATACTTATTTGTTTATCCTCAGAAAAGTGTGCAAAGACAAATACTAAGTTAATAGTGATTGCCTGGGGGCATGGGAGAGAGATGGTGGTGTAAAAGGAAACTTTTTCCCTTAAGCTTTTTATTTTGAAGTAATTTCAGATTTACAAGGAATTGCGGTGCTATTATAGAGAGATCCTATATATACTTCTCCCAGCTTCCCCTGATGCTAACATCTTACATTACCATGGTTTATGTACCAAAACTGAGAAATTAACATTGGTTATAATACCATTAATTAAACCATAGATTTTATTTATATTTTCCCAGTTCTTCTACTAAATTCCAAGACCTAATGCAAGGTACCTTTTGCATTTACTTGTTATATCTTCTTAGTCTCCCTTAGTCTATGACAGTAAACTTTTAGTTTTTACTTTTATACATTTACTTATAAGTTTTTTCAATGATGTGTTATTTGAACATTATTTTGAAACCAAAAGAATAAAAAGTTTTAGAAGTCCTTAATCTGGAGATGGCCATCAGGTCAAATGAAGCATTCTCTATAATACAAATGCTATTTACACCATTTCAGTATCTGTGTAGCTGTCACTGGGTTGACCCTACAGACCTAAATTTTTGAGTTTTCTTTCTATTAAAACACTAAATTATTTCAGCGTAATTATTAATACGTTCTTTGCCAGATTATGCCAACAAAGTGTTATCGGGGATCAAAAATACAACCACATGAATTTACCTCCAATGTAGAAGTCTGTTTGGTTTTTTAAAGTTTAAGCAAGCGTTTGTCTCATTCCTCTTTTTCAACACTGTCAATTTATGCTCTTGTTTTATTGCTAAATCGAGTGTAAGCTTGTGGCTATAAGAAACAAGGTAGCTCTCTGAATTTTTAAAGAGCCAGTGTCTGTGCATTGCCCAGAAAACATGCAGTTACTTGGCCTTTAGTTTGCAGTCATTTTCCTTCATTCTATGGTTTCATGTTTCTTTTTAAAGATAATTTTTGCTGATGAGTGCACAGAAGCTGAGGGTCGCCACTGGCACATGAAACACTTCTGCTGCCTAGAGTGTGAGACGGTCCTAGGAGGACAGAGGTATATCATGAAGGATGGCCGCCCATTCTGCTGTGGCTGTTTCGAGTCTCTCTATGCAGAGTACTGTGAGACCTGTGGGGAACACATTGGTAAGTCCTCAGCCAGCCTGTCTGCCCGTCACATAGCCATTAGTCAGGCTGTGGTTCTCCAGTCTTCTTTTTTCTTTTTTTCAATGGAGGTATAATTTGCATACAGTGAAATGTAGAGATCTTAAATGTTCCAGTTGAGTTTTAACAAATGAATATACAGTCTATCCTTGTTATTTGCAGTAGTTGTGTTCTGTGAAGTTGCTGTGAGCACTGAATACTGAATTAGTGAACACTGAACATTGCTCCTAGGAGACATACAGGATTAAGTTCCTGTTAGCCGCTGGTCACAACATTTTCATCAACCAATTGAGATATATATATATATAAAACCTTGTCTCCCGTGTGTTTCAGTTTAAAGCCATCTTATTGCATATATATTGTTGATGTGCTAACATTGAAGTCATGGCCAAATCATAACTCAAGATTAGGAGCTTATGTAATATATATATTTTCTCCATAAGGTATATCACAACCTACTTTAGGAACACTAGATAGCACTCTGGCATTACATTTGGGGGCCATTTTAAGCAGCAAAACCACCTACAAAAAGCACAAAAATGCAAAAAACATTGCACTAAACATACTAGGAAAAGGACACTTGTTTGCAGTCTGAGAGCTGAAACAAAGGGCAGAGCATCGCTTTGACCTCGGCTGGGAACATACAAGTTGGTCAATTCAGATTTTCACCACTCTGCGCATCTGCAAAAGTGAAAGTGTTGCAAGTATCACTTTGGGCATTACAAATTTTAGTGAGAAGCAAATTCACAAATACAGAATCCACGAATAATGAGGATTAAATGTACCTGCGTAACCCACACCCCTATCAAGATACAGACATTTCCGTTACCCCTGAGAGTTCCCTCATGCCCACGGTCTTTATATTTTGCCCCCATTTCTTCCTTCATTTCAGACATTAAGCTATAACCCATTATCCTGTCCTTTTTCAAAACAGGTGTTGACCATGCGCAGATGACCTACGACGGGCAACACTGGCATGCCACAGAGGCGTGCTTTTCTTGTGCCCAGTGTAAAGCCTCTTTGTTGGGATGCCCATTCCTTCCCAAACAAGGTCAGATTTATTGCTCAAAAACGTGCAGCCTTGGTGAAGATGTCCACGCCTCTGATTCTTCCGACTCTGCATTTCAGTCAGCTCGATCAAGAGACTCCAGAAGGAGCGTCCGAATGGGCAAAAGCAGTCGTTCAGCGGATCAGTGTAGACAGTCTCTCCTCTTGTCTCCTGCTCTGAACTACAAGTTTCCTGGCCTTTCGGGCAATGCTGATGACACTCTTTCGAGAAAATTGGATGATCTGAGTCTCACCAGGCAAGGAGTGGGTTTTGTCAATGAAGAATTTTGGAAAGGCAGAGTAGAGCATGAAACCCCAGAAGACCCTGAAGAATGGGCCGAGCATGAAGATTATATGACACAGCTCCTCCTCAAGTTTGGTGATAAAAGCCTCTTTCAGCAGCAGCCCAGCGAGATGGATATCCGAGCCAATGAGCATTGGATATCTGATAACATGGTTAAAAATAAGACTGAGTTAAAGCAAAATAACCAGAGCCTTGCAAGTAAAAAATACCAATCTGATATGTATTGGGCACAGTCGCAAGATGGACTGGGCGATTCTGCTTATGGCAGCCACCCAGGCCCTGCAAGCAGTAGAAGGCTCCAGGAATTGGATCTGGACCATGGAGCTTCAGGATATAATCATGATCAGACACAGTGGTATGAAGATTCCCTGGAGTGTTTGTCAGACTTGAAACCAGAGCAAAGTGTTCGGGATTCTATGGATTCTTTGGCTTTGTCTAATATCACAGGTATGTAATTTGGGGATTATAGGGTATTTGAAAAAGGAGCCACCGAAAAATTTATTCAAAAAATTGCAATTCAGCACCAGTAGGGTTTATGTTAATTAAAACTGTGGACCACCAGGCACAGTGGCTCATGCCTGTAAACCCATCACTTTGGAAAGTCGAGGTGGGAGGATTGCTTGAGGGCAGGAATTTGAGACGAGCCTGGGCAATATAGCAAGACCCCATCTCTACAAAATAATAAATTAGCCAGGCGTGGTGGCGTGAACCCAGCTATTCAAGACGCTGAGAATCCATTGAGCCCAGGAGTTCGAGGCTGCAGTAACCTATGATCATACTGCTACACTCCAGCCTGGGTGGTAGAGTGAGACCCTATCTCTAAAAAAAAGAAATCAAACCATGACTAAGGGAATGAAGGCATCATTTAAATGCCAAATGCTATAGCAAAACAAACATGTATCTATACATGCATATGTGTAAAATGTATTTTCAATACAGTCTTTTAAGATACATAATATCCCTGTTTTAAAGAGGAGGAAATTGATTTATTAGGATAAGAGAGTCTGCAACTGCATTGTGGCCAAAAGATACTATACTCTTTGGATTGTATTATATGAATTAAAATTGGCCTGTACACTTTATAGGCTCATAACATATTTTTAAGTTTTCCTAAATTGCCCTGTGGCAATAAATAGCTCAAGGATAGTTTTTTACTCAGATTACAAAATATAACTTTAATGTTTTCAAAGCAAATTCATATCAATTATCCATACTTTATCCTTAAAATGACCCTGAGCTATATAGAGTGGATAATATTATTGCATTTTACTAATGAGGAAACTTGAATTACCAACAGGCCAAATGATTGGGCCTAGAACCTAGCACATTATGAAACTCACATCTGCAACAAGTCTTTGGCTACAGAAACACTGCTGTTGCATGGCTAGTTTTATAGTCAAACTAATGGTGTCCAATCCTTCCATAGAGGCTATGTTTCTGTAATATAGATAGGAATGGCTTTAGCGGCTGCCTACGGACATGAATGACCTGTGCCAGGCACTGCAGTGACAAGGATAAGACAGAGCTACCCTCCTGACTTCTGCAGACTTATCCAAGTTAAGGCCTACCATAAAGGGGAATTGAGGAAGAATGGGGGGTGAGACTAAGTAAGCACCTCCTGTCTGCCAGGCCCTGTGCGGGGTGTTTTTAATTTATCAAAAATAGACATAATTTTACAAATTTAAGTATCAATAGGGCTGATATTTTTGACAATAATGGGCTGAAAAACAGGCTCCCTTTAAAAAAAATAGGAAGTTATACCACTCCCTATTGTCACAGTCTGTTGGGCTATCTTTATGTATCTGACTTACCCAACAAGGGAGATCAATATCAGCTTTGAGAAAAGTTTTAATATAAAATTAATCTTGAAGGCATAGAAGACTTGGATGAAAATCTAGGTCAGGGGATGGGCAAACCTCTTCTATAAGGGGCTAGATAGCACTTTTTAAGCCATACAGTCTCTGCAGCAACTACTTAGCTCTGCCATTATAGAAAGTAACCACAGACAGTAAATAAACAAATAGGTGTGGCTATATTGCTTTATACATAAGCTGTTAGACTAGTGGTCAGCAAACCACAGCCTCAGTAAAAGATGAGGAAGAAGGGTAGGCTTGGTGCTCACACACAAAATCTCAACAATTTGGGAGGCCAAGACAGAATGATCAATTGAGGCCAGGAATTCGAGACCAGCTTGGGCAATATAGCAAGACACCATCTCTACAAAAAAATAAATTAGCTAGGCATGGTGGCATGCACCTGTCCACTGGGGAGACTGAGGCAGGACCCTTGAACACAGGAGTTAAGTTCAAGACTGCAGTGAGCTATGATCACACCACTGCACTCCAGCCTGGGTGACAGAGTATGACCCTGTCTCACAAAACAAAACAAAACTGCCCATGATGGTGGCCATGTGGATGCCAAAGAAGGGATTGATTTGAGAGATGTTCAAATGAAGCAATTTGGCTTTAATGGATTGAGAAGCAGAAGCTTCTACATCTTATGTTAATAAACTAATGAAGAGGCTTCTATGGAGAGCTATTAAATTTTTGCTGCTCATGCCGTGTGCTATAACTAATCTTTGAGTCTAAAACAGGTGGGTTCCTAAGAAAGGCTGTGCCCCGTATTATCAATTAACAAAATGTATACCTCTTCTCAATTGGTATATATACATGTTGGTTTTCCCCAGGAGGTTTTAATCAAAAGTTGAAATTGGAAATTTTCTTTGAAATGGTTCCTTTCAGTAGCTTGTCTGCAATAATTGTCAGAATATTAGGATTATTGAGAGGCATATTTTGTTGTGGCTTCTCCTCTAGGGGCTTCAGTGGATGGAGAAAGCAAGCCGAGGCCATCATTATATTCTCTGCAAAACTTTGAGGAGATGGAGACAGAAGATTGTGAGAAAATGAGCAATATGGGAACCTTGAACTCTTCCATGCTGCACAGGAGTGCAGAGTCCTTAAAGAGTCTGAGTTCAGAATTGTGTCCAGAAAAAATCATGCCTGAAGAGAAACCAGTACATCTGCCAGTGCTCAGAAGGTCCAAGTCTCAATCCAGACCACAGCAGGTCAAGTTCTCAGATGATGTCATTGACAACGGGAACTACGACATCGAAATCCGGCAGCCTCCAATGAGTGAAAGGACTCGGAGACGGGTCTACCATTTTGAAGAGAGGGGTTCCAGATCTCATCACCATCGCCGCAGGAGAAGTAGGAAGTCCCGCTCTGACAATGCCCTGAATCTAGTTACAGAAAGAAAATACTCTCCCAAGGACAGACTGCGACTTTACACCCCCGATAACTATGAGAAATTTATACAGAATAAAAGTGCCCGGGAGATCCAAGCATACATCCAAAATGCTGATCTCTATGGACAGTACGCCCATGCCACTTCCGACTACGCGCTGCAGAACCTGGGCATGAATAGGTATCTGGGGCTCTATGGTGAGGATGATGATTCCTGGTGTTCCTCCTCCTCCTCCTCTTCTGACTCAGAAGAAGAAGGATATTTTCTTGGACAACCAATCCCTCAACCCCGGCCACAGAGATACGCCTACTATACAGATGACCTTTCTAGTCCAACCTCTGCACTCTCCGCCCCTCAGTTTGGTCAGAGGACAACTAAATCCAAGAAGAAAAAGGGACACAAAGGCAAAAACTGTATTATTTCTTAACCAAGTAGCTACGGAGATCATTTGTGTAAAACTTAGCCATTAACCATCTGGAGCATATCTTTTTTTCTTCCATAGGAAAGTTGCTAAAATAGTTTTTTTAAAGTGTTTTCTTTGCCCATGTAAATGAGAGCCCAACAGCTGTTTACAGTGTCGGATGAACATTTGAAAGGTGTGATTTCTCCAGTTGACCCTCCTCGGATGGTACAGGTGGACATGACATCTTGTGCCTGTCGTGTGCATTACAGTTTTATGTAGCTGCTTTGGTGTCCAGTCCTCAAGGGAATACTCAAGATACTGTCTCAAGGTGATTGGATGGGTGTGTTGATTTTGCAAGATGGAGAACTCCAGCAGCCTTCGTAAAGCAATAGCGTTTTGTCATTTAAGTCAGGTTGGCTCAGGTCCTGATCGGTCTGTCTTGGTGTGAGGCATGCACGTCTTCACGGTGACCTAGCTAACACTGTGCATCTTAGTGTGCGAGGCCAACTCGTCCCCTTTCAACCCTCCTTAGCCAGGTAAACATTGTATTGTATTAACTCCAGCTACAGATTGAAAAGAGACATTGCTATTTATAATGTAGTATTTCATAGACTTAAGTGTATTCCTAATTTAACGGTGCAAATATTAATGTATATACTGTACAGTTCAGATTTTAAAGCTGATATTTTTATATCCCTGAATTGTAAGACGTTTGTTACACTGCAGTGCTAGATTTGTTAGGGAACCAGAAACAGCATTTATGAATGAAATGATTGCTTGTATTTTAGTCAGGGTTTATAAGTTTAGATGGTCAAATTTATATTGCCTAGTGATGGAAAGTTCAATTTTTTTTGATTTTTCAATATTATATTAAGGCTCTGTATGCATGGTGGGCCTATGTAAATACTCTTTAAAACTATGGCCCTATTAATCTTACGAGTGTTATTTATGGGTTAAGCAATGTAACCTGTATAAATGTAAAAACAATCCCATACATACCCCTTGAATATATGGTAAAAACAAGTAGAAGCTGTTTGGGTGAATGGTTTTTTCCTTTTCCCCCTCTGGGGGGAGGGGTGCCTTTCTCATTCTTAGCAAAGGTGATGATTATCTCATGGGAAGAGACCAGAACTTCAAGGATCTGCTTTTTGTGGCAGAGGACTTTATAGATTTATTGTTTAAAGAGAGGTTATTCCTTTTTATCCCTCCCTCCCAGCTAATTTGTTGGCTTTTAACAGCAATTTTGAAAACTGGGTCTTCTGGTTATGTTTTTCTTTTAAAATCTTTAAATGAGAGGATGCTGTGCCACTCAAGTTAATAGGAGGTTCTAGTTCAGGGGAAATTATGTTGGATTTAAACTATTGAGCAGATATTCTGATATGTGCCATTCTTGCATATGCATCTCAGTCATAACTAAAGGTCCTAGTGGCTTCTGGGACCTTTAGAGAGGTATTTAATAAACGCTTAATAAATAACAAACTACCTTTCTGAATACAAATCTTTGCAAACACATCGAAATAACTTCCATTTTGCAACTCTGTTCAGACATGACTTATTTTGCAGTCCTTCTAAAAGGTTAGGAGACCTCCACTTGACTCCTGCATGTACACATGCCCCCACTAGTAGGTGGGAAATAGGATTTCGGGCACAGAGTTATATTTTTCCGCACCTCCTGGATGCCTTGGGGAGGATGAATCCCACAGGTACATCAGTGAGTAGGCTGAAGCCTCCCATGCCCATCCCTAGATAGGACAAGGCTTTTTTGTACCTGGGTGAGGCAGACTTCCTTTAGAAGAGCACTGATGGTAGAGCTCTTTAGTCAGTAACTGTGTCTTCATTCCCTGGTCTGGTGCATTTAAAGAACATATCAGCAATGAAGAGTAAGTACACATGGGTAAAGAAATTCACCCAGGACAAAAGACAGTGATGCATCTCCTTTCCATTCTTCATCCCTAGTCCTCCAGTTCCTCTTCCCAGAAACAACAGGTTGTAGTGTGTCAGATGTTCAAAGCACATTCATACAAATGTCTTTTAAAAATGGTAGTGAACTATACACACTGTGACTTGCTTTTTACTTTATATGTAGACACTCCACGAGTGCATATAGGTCTACCTCATTCTTCCAAGGATTGCTTAAATATCCCACTTTTACGTATCTTTATTTAGCCAGTCCCTTAATGATCAACTTGAATTTCCTCATACATACTTTATCCTACACTGTCACATGTGCACATGAATCGGGAGCAGCATAATTAGTGGGACAAAGGTTATGGATATTGCCAATTTTCCTGATATACATTATGTAAACGTCAGAATGCTGCTTTTCCATCGCAGCATTTCAATATATATGAGCAGGTATCTTGATTTTGAAGAAATGCTCAGAACCTATGGTGCAAATAGTAGGCATCATTTTAGAAAAGACGTGCAATATATGTTGCTTATAAAGAATGGATAACAAATAGTAAACCAGTGATACTTAGCCTGGAGAAATGCATGTTTATGCTGAAGGCACTGCCCTTGGTAGTTTTCAAATATATTCTCAAGGTTACATGTATTGCCAAAGGCTTAAGGAAATGCAGAACTATTTATTCACAATAATGATACTTTCAAGCTTAAAAGTTAATCCCAATTAGTGGCCATTAACAGAAGACTATCGATAGAGAAAGGGAAGAAACTGCCTTGCAGTTCTATAAAAAATTAGGCAAGAAAATAAAGCTTTACTTGCTAAAAGGTCTTAAGAGATCTAATTAACCACTTCGGTACCAGTGTCAACTACAGTCCATAGCCACAGATGAACGCGCACAGCGACTTTAGCCGACAGCTGTTATATGAAGGCGCACAGACAAGCGTTGACTTTAGCCAACAGCCGTGATATGACTTTTCTAATTTTTCATTTATCAAAATAAAATTGTGAACATTTAAAAATAACATAATGAAAATATATCTGTATATGTTACCTATTCTGATTTGCATTACAAGTAAAGCTGCCTGTAAAGTAAAACAAACTTTCAGTGCTTTAAAGCTTTCCTCATCACACAAGAGCAAAAAGGATTCGTTGTCAAGACACAGCACAAACTATTGTGCGGACTATGAGTGCCGGCTGTGGGCAAGGGTTTGCGGCCGGTGAGCGTGGTACCCAAGTGGTTAATAAGAGTGCAAAGTATCTGGTCAGTTACTAAACTCCAAAATTTGGTTCCCAAACATAAAATGCTAGAACACTGCATCTAATCTCAACATGGGTGAAGCAGAACCGTAACAACCATTTTCCTCACTTCAGAGCAGTCACTGGAGAACATTTGGCAGAAGGCCCATGGAAGGACACTGGCAAAAAGTTGACAGGAACTCCTTTCAGCTGTTATTCAAAGAAAATAATTCATTTTGTATGTACATTTGCTGCTCTCTACACTCGTTCTAGTTCCTGAGTTATCAAAAGTCCCCCAAAGAGAAAGATACCATTTGCTGTCTAACCCTCTCACTTTAGATACAAGTCATGGCCTTATAAAAAGGATTGTAAAATTGAAATGGGCACCCAAGACAGCTAGATCTGCACATATGGCACGTGTTCCTGCCCAGCTTGGTCTTTGGGAGATGGGACCCAGAGCTTTAAATCGTGCTGGATATTGGTGTGGATTTCAGGAGTGCCTGGAAGACTTTAGAACAATTATTATGGTTTCTTGAGCTGCTCTTTTCTAACAGACTCTCAACTACTGCCATGGAAAGATCCAGTGTTGCTAGACCATTGGATTTTTCAAGAGAGGACAGGAATCTGAACTTTTGTTGAAATTGCCTAGATTTTAAATGCTAGCAACTAATTCAAACATTTCTGAAACACTGTTGAATAAAATGAGCCAGCCATTAGCCGGTCTCCAACCCCTGGGTTATACAGATTCAAAAGTCTGAAGCTGATTCCCCTATCTCTTAGAGCTATCTAGGGGCTGCACAACTAATTACTGTTTATAGAAATAGAAGTGACCTTTTTTGGATGCACAAAGAGGAGAAATTATTGGGATGAGAAAGTTCCACTGAAAGCCTCATTATCAATTCAATGCTAGTCATACAATTATATGATAAGACCCATTTTAATTAGTCAAATGAGAAAATTTGCTGTTTGCCTGTTTGGATTCTCTAGTCATTCATTGGAATGGTCTAAAAACAAAGGTATGTTTCTGTACAGTCACATGGGTTTTCCGTAAACTCTCAAATACATTAGAAAAGTTTCCGGGTAAACTGAGCCAAGGAGAAGTGAGCAGGAACAACTGAATGTTGCACCTCCAAGCTCACAGTTTGCCAAGGTCATAGAATCATCAACTTTACTGGGGGAATAAACTTTAACACACTGACTGCCACACTAGAAAAAAAAATTTTCCCTTGGAGCCATGTTGTTTTATTATGAAAATAGAATAAAAGCTTTAAAAACAAAATGATCCTTTCTAATTTAATGAAAAATTTATTTTTTATTGTTTTCTGTGTGTGAGTTATATACAACTTGAAAAGTAGCTCTCCTGGCTCCCAAGATGAAGAGACATATGAGTTACATATGCTTCAGGAGGCCCTGGGCTCAAAACTAGCATGAGTTAAATACAACTCACATGGCAGTTAATGTGTCATAGGTGACTTTCGAAACGGTTTGGGAAGGGAATATGGAGGTAAGTAAGACACTGGGTTCATCTTCTACAGTTGTCTTTAAAAAAAAAAAAAAAGACACTGGGTATATCTATAGACGTGGTCAAAGGATTAAAGCCAATTCATTCTGTTTGAACAGACCCACCTAGTTGGTCAAGTATTCCCATTTTAGGGATCAACTTTAGCCTCAACTTTTCTTTTGCAAAGGAAATTTCACATCTCTCTCTACTGCTGTATGTGCACAAGGTGCTGTGATGCCAACTTTAGAAGTTACAACCCACTCTGCAATTATTTGATTCTAGACAATGTTAACAGTACCATTAAGAATATGCATCTTAAATGCTAATAATGTTTTAACATTTTTAGATAACCAAGCAACTGATGTTGGAAAAGACATTACTAGTCTGATATAAGCCTACCAGAGTTGATCTTGCAGCGTGGTGCAGAGCGCATTGGACTCCAGGATTCAGGAGATCTGGGTTAGGAGACTCACTTCTCTCATTATCAAGCAGATTAAGTGCTCTGACCCAATTTCCACTTCTGTAAAATGAGAGTACTAAACCATCTCAAAGGTTTCCTCTTCCAGCTTCAGCATTCTGTGGAGACTAAACTGAATTTATTAGGTCAGTTAACAGAGAGTCTTCCCACTCAGCATAAAGTGTTTCCCTTTCCTCTTTCATTTACCAACATATTTGTCTGGCAAGGATTCCCTCCCGCAAAGACCATGGCCAATGGGAGCTGGGAACTTTAAAGGGTCTCGGTGTTTTTTAATAATGCTTGGGATTTAATTAAACAATCAAAAGGAAATTTGGGGTTGGTTATATCCCTATCAATGTGTATGCTTCAAATTGACTGTTTATCTCCATTAAGTAGACTGTTTAGAGACTATGCAGAGTATGTGGAGGGCAAGATATTTTCCTCCCTTCATGTTATTGTTCCCCAATTACCAAGAGGAAAAGATTTCCTACATTTTTGGCAAGAATACTACATAAGTAATGTTTTCAAACATGGACATGTCCAAAGCCATCACCAATGAACTGTCAGCCTTCCTCGAAGCTCAGGATCATTATAGGAAACTCTGGAGGGAAGTTGAAACCAGTATATATTTTGGCAGTATAGCACAGTCCTTCCTTAAAGACTAGGTTACTACTGACTTTCTGATGAGACGTCATCCTCTTCCTTCAAGAGGTTCTAGAGCTGTGAACTGGCTCAGGACTAGGAAGTGGCTGACAGCTCTGAGAAATCTACATTTTTGGCAAGAATACTACGTAAGTAGTGTTTTCAAATTTCCTTCTTAAGGAAGGGGAAAAGGTAACGCTAAAGCATTCAACATCCTTCACGTTCTGCTCTTAATTTTTCCCACCTGCATCCCTTATCATCCTCCCCGACCAGTTTCAGTACACACGCCTATGCCTTTCCCTCCATTTCCTCCTGGACGTCTAAAACTTCCCCTTCTCTGCCTGAATAAATTCTATTCCTCCAAGACCCAGAGGTCAAATGAAGACAACTTTAAGTTGACAAGTATGAGAGTACCCACCACGTTCCAAACTGTGCTAAGAACTGGGGTCACAATGACTATAAGATTCCTGCCCTCCAGGAGTTACTAGAAAGATGTAGGATTTTAATCCTACAACTCCTTGAAATTCAGATTCATAATTATACAAGTATTGAGTACTACTGTGTGTCAGGCACCATCTTTTCTTATTTAACTGGTTCTCAGACATCAAGACTCCCTAAGTCACAAAGTTAATACAGTAGCTTCCTCTTATCCCCAGGAGATATGTTCCAAGACCCCCTGGCCCCAGTGGATGCCTGAAACTGGACAGTACTGAACCCTATATATATATATACTATGTTTTTCCTATACCATACATACCCATGGTAAAGTTTAATTTATAAATTAGACACGTAAGAGATTAACAACTAATAGAATCATTATAATATACTGTAATAAAAGTTAGGGAATGTGGTCTCTCAAAATATCTAATTGTATTGTACTCGCCCCTTTTCTTGTGATGATGTGAGATGATAAAAGGCCTCTGTGATTAAGATGAAGTGAGGGGAATGCCGTAAGCATTATGACATAGTGTTAGGCTACTATTGACTTTCTGATGATACATCAGAAGGAGGATCATCTGCTGTGGGTGACCCTGGAATCATCAAGCCATGACCATGTTGATGGTTGGACGTGAGTGGCAGACATAGATAAGCAGCGGGTAAGCATGTGCAGTATGGGTCTGCTGGGCAAAGACATGATTCACACCCCAGGTGGGACAAAATAGGATGGCGCAAGATTTCATCACTACTCAGAACGGCATGCAATTTAAAACTTATGAATTATTTATTTCTGGAATTTTCCATTTAATATTTTCAGACCACAATTGACTGCAGGTAACTGAAACCATGGAAAGCAAAACCATAGATAAGGGGGACTACTGTAGTTTCTCAATTCTCAAACGTCCTCTATCCTGCTGCTGAGTAGGTGAACTAAGGAGTAATCTTGTAGTAGAGAGTAATAAAACCTACATTTTAGCAAAACACTTTAAGCCTGTTAAAATAAGAGAAAAGAATCTAATTATTTAGATGTAGTTGCTTTATTTTGCACTTTAAAATTCACAAAAAGCTTTATAATATCTGCATTCTCCTTGTTGATCATCAAGGCTTTATGGTAAGACAATGAAAATTTTATCACATCAATTGGGCATAAAAAACAATGGATAATTTACAAACAAATCTCTTTAATCAAGAACATTTTGTAAAATACACACTCTGGTACACATTTGAATTAATCTATCCTAAAATTAGACTTTAAAGGGCTTAAAAAAAAATCCCTAAACAAACAGTTTTAACACTGACAAGCCTACCAGAATAATGCTGATGGCAAGCTATAAACAGCTTTAAAGCTGAATGTAATTTGGGGGAAGGGGAGAAGAAGAAATTATCTGTTGAACCTACATTTAAATGCATCTGTTAGTAAGACTTCTCTAACTTAATGAATTTCAACAAAGTGAACAACTCCTTTGCCTTTGGTAGTTTCTTAAGTTTTATTTTTAAATTTGTGACATCTTGACTAAAGAAAATGAATCCTGGGGCTAGAATATTTAAGAAAAAGAAAAACATCGGTGGTAATCCCAAAACGGTACTCATGATAAAAAACAAATATAAAAGAAAAAGAAAAAAATAAAAAATAACCAAATAAAAAAAAGAGAAAACCATTGGTGGGAAAAGAGGAAAAACAAGATCAGTACTTTTCTTAGTCTATCTAAAGTGGGTAACTGAATAAAATCACTACTATTAAGGAAAAATACCAGAGTTGATATGTGGGATTTAGTTTGGCTTAAAGTTAGATAAAGTTAACATCTAAATGACAAAAATAAAACTTCAAGGTGATCTCATTTAGGAAATTAAAAAATAAATAATTGTTGCCCTCAATTAGTTTTTAAATCTGTGGAATAGCATAATACGTACTTTGAGGCACCCAATAGAGGATCTGTTAACATTATTCATACTGCTATTTCCAATTTTAATATAATTTTTATGTGCTTTGGGGTAGTTCTTTAGATATTATCAGTAGAGGCCACTAAAAATAATGCCAGAATTTGAGTAAGAAGAGAGTAGAAACCAAAAGAGGATGGGAGTATAATGAAATTGGGTAGTAATAACAAACATGATTTTTAAGGTTTCCTCACGAACTAATACGGGAAAATTGTATATTTTGGCTCAATGCCATGGGGCTGCTGGAAGTGATCAGGAAATGAGTGGAACATCCTAATCATCCCACTTGGATTCTTAACTAACCCATGATTTGGATGGCTCACTCATGAAGAACTGTTCACATAGGCTGCTTGGTAAGCGGTAGCTATGTTGGGCTTACTATCAGTACCTATTTGCTTTGTTTCTTTCAAGAACACTTTTGAAAGGCTAAGGACCTCTAAAAGGCAGGAGAACAAAGAACTCACTAGATTACAGAGCTTAACAAGAGAATAATCTGTAAATAGTGTAATCATGGACATGTTATCAATCACCTTTCTTGAGGTGAGGGATACAGGTATATTAAAAAAAAAAAAAAAAAAAAAAACTCGACTCCACTACTGGGCCTATGAAAAAATAAAACATTCTAAATTTTTCCTCTTTTGATCAGAAATTTTTTGAGAAATCTCAACTTTAAAATATTCCTAATCTGTCATCCCAAATTGTCCCTTTTACCAGTCTTATAAATGATATTGCTTAAGGCTCATACATCAATGAAAGAGTCAAAAGTTTCAGGATTAATGGATGACATTTAGTTCATTTACTTAGAAAAAAGGATTTTATTCTGAGGTGTCTCTCAGAGATTTAAGTGCTCTCTGTTATCACTGAATGTAACTTATTCTCAAAGCAAATATTCTCTATGATACCAAAGTATTCGGTTTATTATGATAGTATACTTTAACATATTAAAAGTCACAAAGCCTAAGAAAAGCAAGCAACAAGTCAATAAAATTACAACTCAGAATTCTAACATTTTCACATGGTACCATTCACTATGAAATGCAAAAAGACTACTAATGTTTAAGTGGAATGATCTCTAGCCTGTAAATTACACTCCTGTGACCAAACAAATGATTATATACTTGGAAGACTACAGAACATGAGTAGGCACAGAAAGCTGTTCTTCAGGATTGCTTTTTGAAAGCTTGAAAAATTAATTGACCCATCATTTGAGGGGGTAGGGGAGGGGAAGATGCATATGAATTAGGAGGCTTTACATGTAGAAAAAAAAATCTAATTAAAATATTTTAAACAGACTATTTTAAATGTTTATTTGATATTGGAAGTGTGGTCAACTATCATAAAGTATTTCTCTTCATCACAAAAATTCCATATATTAAGGATTTACGCAATCCGGGGGGAGGGGGAATCTAGAAACTTTTTTTTTTGCCTGAGCAAGAAATCTAAAAAGGCTCTCCAAAATCTTGAGTAGAAGTATCATACTCTGCAATAAAATGCTTGAGTTCTTCAACACACCGCTCGCCTATTTCATGTAAATTCTGCCTCAATGCAAACTGTATAGACTTTTCTAATGAAGGATCTTTTTCAATCAGCATTTTCACCACCATCCCGAAAGTTTCACAGTCTTGTCGGTAAACCTAGAAAGGTGAAAGATAACTCTGGTTAGCTGAGAGTGAAAATAATTAGCTAAATACTTAACTGAGTTAACAGAACTATGATGCATAAGTCTAGAGGGGAGACCAATAATACTGTTTGCCCTTTATCTTTGAGATTTGCTGACAACTTGAGAATAAAAACATTCATATACCGTATGACCAAATGTAGAAGTTTGGCATGGCATTTGTCAGTATAAAGCAGTCTACTCAAAGGACATCAGACTAGAGATGAGAATATCTAAGAACAAAGGCTAGGTAAGGCATATCGATGGCTTTGTTCATGGTATCTGTTTGGAAGAAAAAAAGTTTATTAACCCCTAACTTTAGATTTTTGTTTGAATCATGCAAATGACAAATTCAACATTGTGTTTATTATACAACCAAGAACTGTAAGAATGCTGGAAGTATCTACTTAAAAAAAAAATTTCAAGTTATAAATGTTTAACATAGCTAAAGTCATCCAAGTAGAGTTATGGTCAAGACAATATGCATGTGTATATATATTTTTTTTTCTACTTTATTGTGTAGATTTTATTATTTTGTGTCAATATGTTTATCAGTGGCAATTAAATATTTCCTGTCTAAAAATTGCTAAGTTTCTTCCACACTAAAGGTCATTTCCTTAATGTGTAGTTACCAGATGAATTTCTATGCTATTTTGCCTACTCAGTAATTCATCTATTTAAATAAAAAATTACAGCTAATTCTCCATGAAAATTAAGTGGAATACAAATTATCTGGTTTGTAAAAATTTTACATTAATTTGTACTTTCCTAACTTAACAATAACAATCAACTTAATATTGTTTACTCTCCAAACGAGTTTCATTCATTTTTAAAAACTTTAAAATAAGTGATATGAGACATTGCTTGGCTTATGACAAGTTTTTATTCCTCAAATGGTCATGGCTAGTTACAGTGGCTGCTGCTATATGTTTTCAATGTCTGCAATATTTGTTTTGATTGCTTAAAAATAGCTATTTAAAGAATATTTTTAATTTTAAATAAATACAAATTCCTTATCTTCCTTCTCCATCTCAGATACACATAAACACATACACATTTTTCTAAACAGTAATGAAATTTACTCATAATAACCATTAAGTTTCATTCAGCAATTTAAACAAACCATTTTTTCTAGTTTATCCTAAAGTTTACATCACTGAGAACTGATACTGGTATTCTGATAAACCTAGTATACTTAGAAAACAGCATACTGCTGAGATAATAATTACATATGATAATAGAACATATTATGACTGGTCTAACAAATACATAGTACCTAAGACAAGCCAATGCAGTCCCCCGGAGGAAAGTCAGAAGCATGATGTTTCACAGTCCTAGTGGAGGTGAATTTTTTACTGAACCAGTCAGCCCACGTAATAATAGCATTCTAACACCAACCACAGGCCTCAGCAGACTGCTTTTTGGGTGGCCTAAATTTTACAGGCTTCTTTATAACAGATGTACTAGATGAGGATAATGTTACACTGTGAATTAACCTGCAAATTCTTTAACGTAAATCTGCCTTCTACCTAAACTGTAAGTCTTCATTTAGCATATTTACAGAACATAAATATGCTACAGATTTGCACATGAAAAATAAAACCATATTAAGATGTTCATGCATTTGTTTAAACTGTAAAATACTGTCATTTGGGAGACAAGACACTGTAAATATTTAAAGTTTTATTTTTAAATTTTAAGTCCTTTTTGAATTTTTTGTTGGAAATTAGATAAGTGTTTGCATCTTAGTTATTAGCAAGAACAACCAGAACTGCTAAAAGCAACATAATTCCCTACACCAGAGGGTAAATTTACTAAAAAGACTGCTTAAAATGTACTGGCTTGGGCATTAGACAGGAAATAATTAGTTTTTTGTTAAAGGAAGACCTCACCCTCCAACATTTTATAAATACAATTCACAACTGTCAGAAACCTATTTCCGAAATCTGTTCCACAGTAAACTCAATCCCAAAACAGGAAGGGTGTAGTTATCTGTAGGAGAGTTTGTTTGCTTATGGTCCCCAGCTGGAAATTCATTAATAATCTTCAGATTTGATATCTACAGGCCACACAGGAAGACTTTTTTGTTACTGTTTTTGGTGAGCTTCGACCTCATCAAAATGAGAAACAGGTTACAGTATGGGTGGGGTTGACATAAACTGCTTAGAAAAATGGAGTTAAATTTGCCAGCATAATAAAAACACTATCCAAATGTGGTTTCACATATTCCTTTACTATAGTAGCTTGTGTTAATAGTTAAATTTTCACAAGATTCTTCCCAGAATAAAGGAATATGATAAAACAAACTACCAAGGCATCTGACTACTGCTTATGCTTTCAGATGACTGGAAGAATAGTAACAGGCAAAAGAAACTCAATGGCAAATTTTTTCTACCTAAAAATTACTAAAAAATGACATAAAACTCCTCTGACATATAAAATCTCACCTCTGTTCCCACAAAAAAAATAAAGCAAAACTAAGGCAACATGAGCTGTCAGAAGAATTTTCATTTTGGATAAACCATCTTTATTTAATGTGTGTATTACAATTCTAGAAGATCAGTTCAGAGGAATAATGGAGATTTAGAGTTGTGTCTAAAACAGTACCTACTAGCTTTGGTGGATACTTAAGTTAAAATATATATGCATATATAATATATACCTTAATATCAATATTTAAATTATAATTTATGTTAATATTAGGAGGTAACTAGTTAACTGGAAAAGTCAGATACAGACTGAAAGCGCTGGGGAATCAAATGAGAACATTATTTCCTCTATTCCTGATGCCTCATTTCATATATATAATCTCGTTTATCTGAATTCATATGGTTCAAATGCTACATGTCCCATTTCAGAAGAGTTACATCCTACCAGGAAAGATAAAAACAAACAATACAAACAAAGCAGAAATGAGACATTTAGGTGCATAAGCAGCAGGGAAGGCAGAAAGAAGAGTAGTTCCATGGGCAAGCTTATTGAGTTCAAATCAAATCCTGATTCTGCTAATGTGGAAGGCCTGATAATGCCTCCTAACTCCGCCCCCAAGATGTTCACTTCTGAATCCCTGGAATCCATGAATATGTTACTGTACATGGTATAAGGGACACTGAGATAGGGAGCTTATCCTATATTATCTAGGTGGGCACAATGTCACCACAAGAGTCCTTAAAAGGCAAATGCAGGAGGGTCAAAAAGAGAGGCAATATGGCCACAGAAACAGAGGTTGAATGATGATGAGCTTTAAAGATGGAGGAAGGAATTACAAGCCAAGGAAACAGGTGGCCTCTAGAAACTAGAAAATGCCAGGGAACCGATTCTCCCTAGAGCCTCTGGAGGAAGGGCAGCCCTGCAGATACCTTGATTTGGGTCCAGTAAAACCTATTTTGCACTTTATATATTCTTCTCAAGCTCACGTGGAATATTAACCAAGTTAGACCACAGTCTGGGCCATGAAACACACCTTAAGTTTAAAATAATAGATATTATACAAAATATGCTCTCCAACCACAATGGAATTAAATTAGAAATCAACACCAGAAAGCTAACTAAAAAACCCTGTAACATTTGCAGGTTAAACAACACTTTTTTTTTTTTTTTTTTGAAACAGAGTCTCGCTTTGTTGCCTAGGCTAGAGTGAGTGCCGTGGCATCAGCCTGGCTCACAGCAACCTCAATCTCCGGGGCTCAGGGATCCTACTGCCTCAGCCTCCCGAGTAGCTGGGACTACAGGCATGCGCCACCATGCCCGGCTAATTTTTTTTGTATATATTTTTAGTTGGTCAATTAATTTATTTTTATTTTTGGTAGAGACAGGGTCTCGCTCAGGCTGGTTTTGAACTCCTGACCTTGAGCAATCCGCCCGCCTCGGCCTCCCAGAGTGCTAGGATTACAGGCGTGAGCCACCACGCCCGGCTAACAACACTTTTTTTTTTTTTTTTTTTTTTTTTTTTTGAGACAGCATCTCACTCTGTTGCCCAGGCTATAGTGCCATGGCGTCAGCCTAGCTCACAGCAACCTCAAACTCCTGGGCTCAAGCTATCCTTCCACCTCAGCCTAAGTAGCTGGGACTACAGGCATGTGTCACCATGCCCAGCTAATTTTTTCTGTATATTTTTAGTTGGCCAATTAATTTCTTCCTATTTTTAGTAGAGACAGGGCCTCGCTCTTGCTCAGGGTGGTTTCGAACTCCTGACTTTGAGCAATCTGCCTGCCTTGGCCTCCCAGAGTGCTAGGATTATAGGCGTGATCCACCGAGCCCGGCCTAACACACTTCTAAATAACATATGGGTCAAAGAAGAAATCTCAAGAGAAATTGAAAAGTATTTTGAGCTAAATGAAAATTAAACCATCAAAATGTGTGAAGTGCAGCAAAAGAAATGCTTAGACACATCTACTCGCCATCAAATTGATATTGACTGATTAAAACTATAGTGCTAAAAAAAAAAAAAAACTATAGTGCTCAATTGGTGGTAGTATTCATCAGGGATTTGGCGAGGGTAGACTGACATCCTAGGGATGTGGCGAGCATTGTGGGGGAGAAGGGAATATCTCTAATCCTTCATAGAGAGAGGCAATGCTATACAATGTAACCAAAATGTAAACAAAACAAAACAAAACAAAACATCGGGTGGTGGGCAGGTGGGAGGGGGGGAGAGGAAAGATGTATACTTACGTAATGGGTGTGTTACGCACCACCTGGAGGTTGGACACGCTTAAAGCTCTGGTGGGGGCAGGGGGTGGCAAGGGCAATATATGTAATCCTAACAATATTTGTACCCCCATAATATAATGAAATAAAAGGGAAAAAAAGAAATGCTTAGAGAAAAATGTATAGCATTAAGTGCATATATTAAAAAAGAAGATATAAAATTAATAATCTAAGCTACAAAATTAGGGGAAAAAAGAGCAAATAAAATCCAAGAAGAAGAAAAAAACTAGAACAACAAAAATTGAAAACAGGAAATTAACAAGAGTA